AAAAAAGAACGTTGGAGTGCTCCAACCTCTGGGTTGGAGGTGTGTATAGACACAGGCACATGTGTGCCATCGTGTGTATGTGGAGGTCAGAGGACAGTTTTAGATGTTGGTCCTTGACTTCTGCTTTGTTTGAGCCAAGTCTCCTGTGGGTTTGGGGCTTTGTTTGTTTTCTGCTACATATGTCAGGCATCCTGGCCCATTCACTCAGAGTTGCCCCTGTTCCCACCTCCTATTTTCCTGTAACAGTACATGGATGACACATACATGCCCTACAGCGTCCAGTTTATCTAAGTAGGTTTTAGGCATTGATACTCAGTCTTCCTGTGCTTTATCCACTGAGTCGTCTTCCCAAGCCAAAAAAGCCATTTCTCTTGAAAATTCTGACAACTCCTTTGAAGTAAATTAGTAAAGATTTTGTTGCCTCCAGATGTAATGGCACATGCCTTTAATCCCAGCACTCAAGAGGCAGGGGACAGGTAGATCTCTGTGAGTTCAAGGAAGCCTGGTCTATATAGTGAATTCCAGAACAACTACATAGTGAAACCTGGTCTCAAAAAGAAAGAAAATTTTGTTGTCAATGGTAGCCTTCTAAAATAACCTTTTAAATGCAATTTTAAATATAATTTTAAATTTTTACATCGAGGTAAGATCTTGCTGTGTAGCCCTGACTGGCCTCAAACTTGGAGTGATCTTCCTGCCTTTTCTTCTAGAGAAGTAAGATTACAGATGTGTGCCACCACACCCAGCTCTGGTACTTTTGTAAAATGATTGTTGTTTTACTCATAATACAGAGTAAACTGTACAGAGACTGTAATCACTTAGAAAAAATAAGACTGTAAAACATTTAATAGAAAAATTAGGGCTATCTTTTCAATTAGGAAATGGATTTTTTTTATAGGAAAAGAATAAGAACAATATTTACTCATTAACAAAAATTTGAATAGGAGGCCAGGAATGGTAGTGTGCATCTATAATCCCTGCACTTGGGAGGCAAATGCAGAAGTAT